TATGTGTATATATACACCTATACAAGTGGCACGTGTGTGCCCAGGCTCATACAAAAAACTGAAGGGGCGTTTGAAACAGGAGTGAAATGCAACATCGAAGTCGCACTCGAGCGCAAGTGGGGTTGCAACACCTTGCGATGTGTGTACCAGGACCCCCCAGGAAGCCTCAGGAGGCCCGACTTGGATACCAGAAGAGGCTCCAGGAGGCCCCAGGATTGTGAGTGTTGTGCGTGTGTGTGTGATGTATGCTTTGTGTGGTGCGTGCTTTTTGTGTGTTGTAGGTGTTGTGTGTGTGTGTTATGTTTGTCTAGCGTGTGATGTGTTGGGCGTGATGTGTGTCTCTGTGTGCATGTAGTTCTGAAGCCCCAGGAGGCCCCAAGAAGCCCCAGGCGGCCTCAGGAGGCCCCAGGAGACCCCAGGAGGCTTCAGGAGGCCCCAAGAGGCTCCAGGAGGCCGCAGGAGGCCCCAGGAGGCCCCAGGAGGTTTCAGGAGACCCCCAGGACGCTCCGAGGCGGGGTCTGGGGTGCCAGAAGGTTCAGAAAGCCCCAGGAGGCCCCAGGAGGTTCCAGGAGGCCCCCAGGAGGCTCCGAGGCGGGGTCTGGGGCTCGATTTTGGAAGGATTTTTCAAGCGAAACCGCCATTCCCTGAGAATCGGGGTCACAAGTATTGAAATTACCATGTGCTTTTGAAGGTTTTATGTTAACATGTTGAAATTCCCATGTGTTTTTGGACCCTGACGTCACGATCTCCGTGAGGGGTGCCACCGATTTTCAGAATTTCGAGGATGTCCCGAGCGAAACGCCCAGAAAAATAGCGGACGCGTGCGCATGAATCGCCTCTGAGCTCGACTCCCTCGGAGAGGTGCGTATGATAATATATACAGATATATATATATATATATGCATACATACATATATATATATATGTATATATATATATGTATAACACATCGTCCCCTTCGCCACCAGGATGTCCCCCACCCATGGTTTCAAGGCTCATCATCAGCCTCTTCAAGGCTATCGGGTAACCGTGCTTAACATGAGCGAGCAAATTCAACAGATTGTCCCTCCATTATCTGAATTTGGTCCTGTCACCCGAAAACGATTGTAACTGTTGAGCAACCTGTTCTTCACATACGGGCGCTTGTGACCATCACCGCGTGCCTTGGCGCTTTCGGCGGACAGTCTTGCCTCAGCGATCTTGGCTATATGCTCCGAGGTGTCCGCTTGGTGTTAGAGTTCGTTCCTCACATATCACCTTAAGAAGCCGAGCTGTTTCCCGCAGTACATCAGAAACACATTAATGTTGTAGCTCATCTGCAACATTGTGAATGCTTCGTCGTTGCTAATCGTCCTGGTGCCCTGTACTGCGCTCGAAAATGCCATCATGCCTTCGTGATTGGCTGTGGGCGCCGTGCCCACGTATTTGGAGCCCTCGTCCCCGCAGGGGAGTCGCAAAGCTCTGCGAAACGATTCGTGCCTAAATCCCACCAGCCCTTTGGGCGGCAGGTGGTCTAACGAGATTCCTTTTCCCTCTTCCAAAAAACCATCTTCCCCAACGGGGAGGGGTTTACCCGTCCCCTTACCCCTCCCCTGGGCTTTTTTGGGGGTCCGCGAGGTGCCAGGGCGTCCAAAACGGCCTCGGCGAGGAAGACAAACTCATTGGTGGTACTATGGTTTTGGCCCCCATGTTGGCATTTTTTGGGGGGGGGCGGGGCGAACGTTACACCATCTCCTCCTTTGGTCGATGGCCTTCAAGATGGCCCCAAGAGGCCTTCCAGGGCTCCCAAAAAGGCCCCAAGAGAACCCCAAGAGGGCCACATGACGGCCCCAGAGGCCTCCAAGACGCCCACGATGGCCTCCAAGACTGCTAAGATGGCCCCAACATGCTTCCAAGACGACCCAAGATGCACCCAAGACGGCCTGAGATGGCCTCCGGATGGCCTAAGACGGCCCAAGAAGCCGCAAGAGGCCTCCAAGACGGCCCAAGAGGCCTCCAAGAGGTCCTCCAGGAGGACCCGAAGAGGCCCAAATCATTGACTTCCCTCTGTTTTTTTTTTGAAAGATGTTGGCATTTGCTTCTTCTCGGCATTCCGACGGCTCAAGGCGGCCCAAGAAGCCCCCAAGATCACCCACGAGGCCTCCAAGATGACCCCATGACGGCCCAAGAGGCCCCCAAGACTGCTCCAAGAGGGCCCCAAAACAGTAGACGCCCAAGATGGCCTCCAAGATCCCCTGATATGCCTCAAGAGGGCCCCAAGACGACCCAGACAGGCCCCAAGGCAGCTTCCGACGGCGTCAGACCAGCCAGGAACGCCTTAAGACGGCCAGAGGCCCCAACAGGCCCCCAAAGGCCCCCCCAAACCCTCCAAAAGACCCCAGAAAGCTCCCAGGAGGCTCCAAGAGTGCCCCAAGAGGCCTCCTCCTCCTCCTCCTCCTCCTCCTCCTCCTCCTCCTCCACCTCTTCCTCCTCCTCCTCTCGCCTCTCGCCCCCACGCGGCCCCCAGGGATGGCCAAGGAGGCCACACCATTGCTCCCAGAGATCTCTCGGTTCATCCTGGTTGCTCGCTTTGTTTCCCTAGATGTGTCCCTTCGTCCCTTTTCCCGTCAGCTCTCGTGGGCAGGGCTTCCGAATGGGCTTGTGGAGTTTTTTTCCGTCGCGGCCGCAAGCGGAAGCGCAAGCGGCGTCCGAAGTCAGCCCGCTGGTGGGGATTTTTGTTGTTCCGTCGCGGCCGCAAGCGAAAGCGCATGCAACGTCCTGCCCCCATCCACCTATTCGTCCTCCCTCTCACCCCATTCGTCGCCGGGTCGATGGCGCAGCGGTAGAGGGCGTGGGAAAAGAGAGAAGGAGGAACGCGTTTGTGGAAGAGGTGGCTCGAATCCTGGGGAACAAGATCTTAGCTGATGTTTGGGGAACGTTGAAGAGAAACCGGGGATGGCAAGGCTTGGTTTTGTGGACATCCAGACAATCCAGGCTTGCCTGAACAAGCCCCCGAGGTTGTCCAAGCATCATAACCATGGGGCGAAGCGCCCTGGGGGCGCCGCTGGAAACGGCGGGGGCCCATCTGAATATATCCAGGGACTCTCCCGGGGCGCCTGTTAAGGCCAGCCTGGCCTCTCCCTGGGGGCTGTCTCTCTCCCTGGCCCTCCTAATCCCCCTCGTCCTCCACTCTCCCTCTTCCACATTGTCCCCAATCGTCCTCCTTCTACTCACTCCTGCTCCCTCCCTCCTCTTCGCTCCTCCGCGGCCCCTTTCGTCCCCTTCCTTCCTTTTCCTCCTCCTCTTCCTCTTCCTCCTCCTCCTCCTCCTCCTCCTCCTCCTCAGCATCACCATCATCATCAGCGTCACCATCATCACAATCATCGTCATGATCACCATCATCACCACCATCCTTATCCTCATCATCCTAGTTATTCATCGTCATCCCCATCCTCATCCTCATACTCCTCCTCATTACCCTCATCCTCATCCACATCGTCCTCCTCATCACCATGAGCAGCATTATCGGTAGCATATTCGGCAGCAGAATCAGCATCAACATAATCCTCCTCGTCATTATCACCATCATATTCAGCATTACCATCATCATCACCATCATCATCAACAGCATCATCATCACCACCACCATCACCATCACCAAATGCATCATCATCATCATCATCATCATCATCATCATCATCATCATCACCATCATCATCACCATCATCATCATCATCATCATCTTCATCATCAACATCGACACGATCGTCATCATCACCACCACCACCATCATTATTATCATCATCAGCAGCATCATCATCGTCACCGTCATCGTCTTCGTCTTCGTCATCATCATCACCATCGTCGTCATCATCATCATCATCAGCATCAGCATCAGCATCAGCATCAGCATCAGCATCAGCATCAGCGTCGTCATCATCATCATCATCATCATCATCATCATCATCATCATCATCATCATCATCATCATCATCATCCCCCCTCCCCCTTCCCCTCCCTCTCTCCTCACCTCTTCTCGTCCTTCTCCGTCTCATCCCCCCTTCCCTCCTCCACCCCTTCCCTACATTCCCGTCCTTCTCCTCCTTCTCTTCCTCCCCATCCTCGTCTTCATCTTCCCTCTCTCCCCCCTCTGCGCCTTCCCTCCTCCTCAACCACTCCTCCCCCTCCCCTCTTCCTCCTGTTCCTCCTGTTCCTCCTCCCCCTCATCCTCCTCCTCCTCCCCCTCCTCCTTTTTCTCCCCCTCGCCCTCCTTCCTCCTACAACTCCTCGCCCTTGTCCTCCTTCTCACCCCTCACCCCTCAACCCTCGCCGCTTCTGTTCCTCCCTCCCCCCTCCTCCCTTGTCCTGGATAATGGTGAGGACTTGAACGATAAGTACAGCATCACTATTATTTTCTCGGAGGTCCACGAGAATTTCTGGGATCGGCGTTGGACACCCCTCTGCCTGGCGCGCGGAGCGCGCCAGGGTGGCCAAACGCCGATCCAAGAGCGTTGCGCGGACATCTGAGAAAACATGTCTTAACCCGGAGAAGCAATTAAGGAACCCCCCGGCGTTATCATTAGCACCGCGCCGTAATTAAATAATTATTTGGGGGGGTTTTCGCCGAGCGATATTATTAGCACCGCGCAAATGGAAGGAACATAAATAATTCCAGCGCCCCGCCTCGGGTGGCATCCCAATTAGAATTGTAATGAGAATAAGAATACGGTGGGAAGCGATTAAGAAGCCCCTCCCCTGCGACACCCGTGGGACCTGTGGGACCTCACACGGGAACCACTTTGAAACTTGTGGGACCTGCGAGACCTGCGGGACTCCGTGGGACCCGTGCGATCTGGTGTACCCCCTCCTGGTGCCAGGACAACGCTTCCGGGTGCCGGGTGCGTTATCCTTTCACCGGAGAGGGGGGGGGGGGGTTCCTTAATCGCTTACTCGGGTTATGCCTTCGTTGTTTCTCGACGATTGTTCCCCCCCCACCCCCACCCCCCGCCCCTGGTGGGAACCGGAGTGTGCGAGGCCGTCCTCTGCGGGGTGACGCGCTTGCCCGCCTGCGTGGCCTCGGAGATCGGGCGCGCGGCCCACGGCGAGGAGCTCGCCGTCGTCGTCGTCGTCGTCATCGTCGTCGTCGTTGTCGTCGTTGTGGCGCTCGTCCTCTCCTTTTCCGTCTCCTTTCCAGCTCCACTCCTGCACCTCCGTCCGTAGCCATTCTGGCCCACACCAGGCGAGCCCCCTCTCTTCAAGCCGGCAGGGCGCGTCCCTTCGGCTCCGGAGCTGCGGGCGGTGCGCTCCGGTGGAGTCTGAGAGTGGCGCGGGCTGCATCGCCAGCAGTTGGTCTAGGTGGAGGGCCGAGGGAGACGTTCTCGCTCGGAGCGCACTGCGGCGAGGCGGCGGCCGGAGGCCTCCGCCGAAGCAGCGGTGCACCACCTGGAGGAGCGGCTCGTGGCTCGGCGCGGAGAGGAGCACCGAGCTGGAGGAGCAGCCTGGTCGTGCTGCGGGGCGCCCTGCGCGGCGATCTCCCGAGCTGGCAGCGCGGCTGGCGCCGGTGTCTTGGCGGCGAAGCCGGGTGGCAAGGGGAGTGCGGCGTTGCAGCCGCATTCCGCGCAGCGCCAGGCGCCGCGCGAGGCGGCAGAGAAGGCGGGCGCAAGGCGTGCCCGCGGAATCGCCACTGCGCAATGGGGCTCCGCGTTTCGAGCCTCCCGTGGACGCGCCCCATCGGATCAAGGTGCAGCTGTGGAGACGGAATTTGTTCACCCTTCTAGCTCGTGCTGGCGTCTGCTTCTCCTGTCGTCCATGATCGGGGTGTGGTCGTTTGGGAGGGTGCCGAGGACGGAGGCGACGCAGCAGACCAGCTCCCGACCAGTGGCGTACCCCCCCGCCATGGTCGAAGGCTCTGAGGGGGCAGGCTCGGCCAAGGCGCACGAGGCGCAAGTGGCTGAAGTTGCTCTCAAGTGTCGCCCTCCCAGTGTTGGAAGTCATAGCTGCACGAGTGCCAGGTGGTGGAGTTCTAGGGAGTCCATCGCGAGCGAGTGGTTGCATCCCGTTCCTGGTCAGAGGGCGGGCCATCCTCTCGATCTCACTGGTATCTTTGTGGCGGATGGTGGGCTCGAAGCCGTGGTTCGTGCTGCTCCAGTTCGTCTTCTTTGGGAGCAGCTGGGGCTGCCGCCCGATCCTGGCGAGGGCTTTCTTTTCGCTTGATGTCGGCATGCCGCTGATATTCAACATGATTGTTTCCTGTTCATTTCGAGGGTCTTCGGAGGCTCAGGCATTTCTTGTTCGTAAGTATGGAGCTTGCTCATGCGCAGATTGTGTTGATTTGGCTTCCTGGCGCTGCCTGCGTCGTATGTGGCCCCCTGGCACACCAAAGGTATGGAGCAGCTGTCCTGCATGATCGTGCTTGAGTGTCTCGCAGCACATGTTCTGGTTCGCGGTGGCGAAATTCCTGGGCTTCTTCATCACGTTCTTCGCCCCCGGTGAGGGGCCCTTGGCCGCTGATGTCAAACAATCCACTCCTGCTCCTGCTCGTGCTCCTCCTTCTCCTCCTCCACTTCCTTTGCACCGACTTCTACGAACGAGGTACCGACGTGTTCGTGGCGACAAGATCTCGGACACGAACATGCTCGATGGTGCCCCCAACCCCCCACTGAGCTCCCCACCCTCCCCTGACGTCCTTGCCGCCGCCTCCGGGCGGCCGCGCCAGCACCACCACCGACCACCAGCTACCTCCTCGGGGCGGCCTTTGCGGTGTCCACGCCGCCACCACTGGCCTTCGGCCCCCTTGTGCCTTGTCTGTGCCCTTCTGCCAGTCGTCTGGCCACGACATCGCTACAGTTTCTTCCACTGCGCCCCCTTGCATTCTCGGTCATGTCGTTTCCATGCCGGTCGGCTATCTGCCTCTCTCGTCAGACCCCCCGTCATCCATGCCCAGATGACTGATGGCTGGATGTCGGCGTGGCTTATTCCAAGCGGCTTGATGGCTCGGCCTTTAGACGCGCGCGCCCGCCCGCTTGTCCGAGCTTGCTACGCCCTGTCGCTGCGCGCGGGGCCGCGACGCCAAAACGCGTGTGTGAGTGTGTGTGTGTGTGCTTGTGTGTGTGCGTGTGCTGCGTTAGCTTCTAGTCCTCCGTCTGCTCCTCTGTCAGCACTGTGCTTCCTCCCCCTCCCCCCTCCACCTCTTCCCCTCTATGTCCGAGGGGCGTGATCACCCGCCCGTAGTCCAGGGGACCTGATGCTCAGTTTGGGAATCGGGCTCCAAGGGTGCGTGGGCGGATGCTCACGGCTAGATGGCCGCTCCAAGGCACAGCTCAGGAGACATGTCTGACCCCCCTGCCCAGAATCCAGCAGCCTGGGAGCCGAACGCGAAGAGGTCCACTTGCGGAGGCCGTTCGCTGCAGCGGCCCTGCCCCTGTCATTGTTCCGCCCCTCCCGAAACGTTCTGGCCGCCATGCCCCTTCCCTTGTTCCGCCCTGTCCCCTTCGTTCCGCCAGCTCTATAGCTCCCCGTGCAGGGATCGACGTCAGCAGAATTTTTTGTTTTCGTTGTGCTGTCGTTCTCCCTCGTTGTCTTTGCTCCGCCGGTGCTGCGCAACGAAATCGGGACGAAAACGGCCGTCAAACGCGCTCAACATTGTGCCGCCCCTCTTCTCTCTCCGTTGCCCTTTCTACGCCACGAGAAGAATACAGAAATATACACACACGGACGCCTTCCGACGAAGTTTGCATGTACCTTCAGGGAGGGTAGCGGTGTACAAAGTCGCTGGCTCTCAGTGGTGAGTTATACACCGCATCCCCCCTTCTGAGACGCAGGAATAATCCATTGGAGGGCGTCTGTGTAGTTTTATGGCGGATGCTCATCCGGAAGAGATTGCCTCCCAAGTCGACGGCGAACGTCCGCAGCATGGGAACGCGGTTCTCCTCCCGTTCGCTCCGGTTCGCCCCCCGCGCCCCGCTCCGTGCCGTCCCCTAGCTCTCAAATTGGCGGGCGGGCTTCCAAGCGGGCGAACGCGCGGACCTTAATGTCAGCTTATGGCTAACAAAATGAGGTGGGGCGCGTGATTGAAAAAAACTGTCCCCTGCTCGGGCGCATCGCGGGGGGCGCCCACCAAATGGAAAAGCACGGCGGTGGCGCCGGTGGTTAGCGCCAGCGCCCGGCCGCCGACGACGGGAGTCGGGCTCCTTCTTTCCTTTTCCCCTCCTCCCCCCGCTCCACTGCAAGATGTCCTACGACGACGACGGCGATGGCGACAGGCAAGGCGACACAGCGACCATGGCAAAGGCGACAGTGAAGGCGACGGCGGCGGCGGACGGCGACGCACTGCGGATGCACCAAGGGAAGGGGCGGGGGGGGGGCGGGGGTTCTGTGTATGCCCACTGGAGTCCACGACGACGAAGACGACGTCGACAACGACGCACTGTAAATGGATGACCCATGGGGAGTGGTACTGTCGTCGTTGACGACGACAACAGACGACGACAACAGACGACGACGGCGACGACCACGATGACGACGACGACGACGACGGACGACGACGCAGCATTTCGGATTTCCAATGGGAGAAGGTGATGCGCTGCGATTCGCGCTGCAGTCGACGACGATGACGGCCACGACGACCACACCGAAAACGACGACGTCAACTACGACGACAACGACGACGACGACGGCGACGTCGACTACGACGGACGACGACGACGAAGACGACGTCGACAACGACGCACTGTAAATGGATGACCCATGGGGAGTGGTACTGTCGTCGTTGACGACGACAACAGACGACGACAACAGACGACGACGGCGACGACCACGATGACGACGACGACGACGACGGACGACGACGCAGCATTTCGGATTTCCAATGGGAGAAGGTGATGCGCTGCGATTCGCGCTGCAGTCGACGACGATGACGGCCACGACGACCACACCGAAAACGACGACGTCAACTACGACGACAACGACGACGACGACGGCGACGTCGACTACGACGGACGACGACGACGATGACGACGATGACGACGACGGCGACGACGCTCTGCGGATGGCCCATTGGGGAGGGATGGGGTATGTGCTCCATCAGTTCCTGTAGTCCTTTGTAATCGACAACGACGATCGGCGACGACGGCGACGACGAGCACCGCGACCACGACCACGACCACGACCACGACAACGAAGTCGATGACGACGACGACACGACGAGAACGACGACGACGACGGACGACGCCGACGACGCACTGCCGAAGCCCCACGGGGGTTGGGGGGAGGGGGGGCGCTGTGTAGGCCCGCTGTAGTCGACGACGGCGACCGACACAAGCGATGACGACGACCACCAGCGCCGCCCGCGAAGACCTTCTGCCGCGCGTGGTTACATGAAATGGTTCACGCCCCGCGGAGTCTATTCATGAGCCCGGGGACTGGCCATCGCTCGGACGTCCATTCCCTGTGCCTTTCTCGGTTTCGCGCGTGGCTTTTTCGCCAAATTATCAAGGATGCTCCTCGCCGAAAGAAAAATGCACACGTCCGAGCGATGCCAAGGGGAGGGGGGGGCATCATTCATTCATCATAACTGACATTGCGGGCGGGTCGGGCGGGCGGACCCTAACGGGCGGCTCGGGCGGGCGGGCACTAACATGCGGTTGGGGCGGGCGGGGCGTTGAGCGAATGTTGTAGATTGTGAGAAAACCCCAGGTGAGAACACGATTCCCGAGTAAGTGTTGAGAAGTCTCGTAAACGCATCGCCGTAGCAAATTTCGAAGAAGTCCTACGCGAGAGCGCGATTCCTGGGTAAATTGCGAGGGGTATGCAGCGGGACTGCCTGCAAGAACGTCTGTCGGGAACCGCTGTGGTTGTAGTCCAGGGAGTCCACATCACGGTTTGACGAACCAAGAGTTCCCCTTGTAGCTTACCTATGTATATACATATATGTGTAAATTGAAAGCAAGGAGCGAACCCTGGGGGGCACTACACTTGAAACAACAATGAGAGCACGACAAGACGAGATTGGCAATTCCTATTCTTCAGAAATCAACAACTCAACGATGACAATCCGCACCAGGGACCCCCACTAAAAAAACGCACCCATGGACCGTGTAAGACCGTTCGGCCCCCTCACTCTGAGAATCTCGTCCCCGAAGCCCTGGCAGGCTCCTTCAATCCCTGGCGGCCTCCGCCGGCGCGACAAAAACCAAACACGGCGGGCATACAAACATCTAAGCTCAAAGGGCGGCGCGGCAACATGGAGGCCGACCGCTGCGCGAAGGAACTCGTGGCGACGCTGCTAGCTCCGGCGGCGGTGCACACGCGGCGCGAGCGGCACAGTCTGAGGATCGACGGTGTCGTTCATTGGGTCGGCCAGGCGGGGACCGTGGCCGCCAATGGCCGAAAGGACATCGAGACGGGCTTCAAGATGGACATGCCGTCTCGTGCCATGCTTTCCGTCACGAGCCACCACATTGTTAGGCTGCGGGATGGCGCTGCCCATTGCGTGCGGTGCTGCCGCAATGCCAGCTGCGGGAGCTCCGCTGCCCGACTCTGGAGCTCGCAATGCCAGACGAGGCCAGGTGGGCAAGAGCGAGGGAGAGTAGCCCCAACAGCGGTGGCATCGTCTGAGGCGGCGGAGGTCGCGCTGGCGGCTGCGGGTGAGCACGGGGGCCTTGAGGGTGGCGCTGCCGCGGCCGACGACGCGGTCACCGATGCTCGGTGCCACGCAAACAGGGCGGCCTTTGGCTAACGCGTGTGCGTCCGATGTGGCGCTTGCGCGCGTGACGTGCGTGGCAGGTGCAGGTCCCCAGGACCAGCCCGCCTGGGTCGATCCGGGGGCACCGACGAGAATGGGCGCCCCGCTGTCCCTGATGCTATGCTCTAGTCTGCAAGGCAGACAGTGCATTTTGCCGAACCAAGACATCAATCCACCTCCTGTCCCTGACCTTCCTCCCTCCTCCTCCCTCCCTCCTCCTCCTCGCCCCCTCCTCCTGCTCCTACTCCTCCTCCTCCTCCTCCTCCTCCTCCTCCTACTCCTCCTACTCCTCCTCTTCCTCCTCCTCCCCCTTCCCCCTTCCCTGCTTTTTCTTCCCCCCTGCCTCCTGGCTCCTCTCTCCTCGCCGCGCCATCGCGGATGCGGGGAGGTAGTGGCTCTCGCCCTTGCCGGCGAAGCTGACCGCTCGGAGGGGCTCGTCGACGCCGTTCTGGTGGCGGCCCCCGCGCGCCCGCGCCACGGGTGGAGGGCGAGGGCGACGAGGACGAGGATAGACATACTGCTGAGGACGAGGGCGAGGACGACTTTCGAGGAGCACGAGGACGAGGGCGAGGACGATGAGGAATCAGGGGCACCCCTGTCTCTGTCGAGCTGTTCTGCGCTGCACACTACCAAAACGATGGCCTGGACCTGGGCTGAGTCAAAGACGAGGAGGAGCAGCAGCAGCAGTAATACAAGTTAGTCATGACAGAGGAAAGAGAAGGACACATACAAGTAGTAGTCGTGATAATCGTAATCGGAGTCGTGGTAGTAGAACGAACTCGTAGTAGTACTAATACTTGTAGAACAAGGGTGCGTCGAAATAGTAGCCGTAGTCGGAGTCTTAGTAATACTCGTAGTAGTAGTAGTAGTAGTAGTAGTAGTAGGAGGAGAAGAAGAACTAATGATAGTAGTCGTAGCAGTAGTCGCAGTGGTAGTGGTAATATTAAGAATAGTGGTAGTAGTCGTAGTAGTAGTAGCAGTAGTAGTAGTAGTAGTAGTAGTAGGTCGTAGTAGTAGTAGTAGTAGTAGTAGTAGTAGTAGTAGGAGTGACAAACGTAGTAGTAGTCGTAGTAGTAGTAGTAGTAGTAGTAGTAGTAGAAGTAGTCGTCGTCGTAGTAGTAGTCGTAGTGGTAGTAGTAGTTGTAGTAGTAGTAGTAGTAGTAGTAGTAGTAGTAGTAGCAGTAGTAATAGTAGTAGTCGTAATAGTAGTAGTTGTAAAAAATACTCGTACTGGAAGTATAAAGAAGAATATGTAGTAGTAGTAAAGGTAGTAGTAGTAGTAGTAGTAGTAGCAGCAGCAGCAGTAGTAGTAGTAGTAGTAGTAGTAGTAGTCGTAGTAGTAGTAGTAGTAGTAGTAGTCGTAGTGGTAGTAGCAGTAGTAGTAGTAGTAGTAGTAGTAGTAGTCGTAGTAGTAGTAGTGGTAGTAGTAGTAGTAGTAGTAGCAGAAGCACTGGTACTATTAGTGGCAGCAGGCGCTGCTGTAGTAGTGGTGGTAGTAGTAGTAGTAGTCGTAGTAGTGGTAGTAGTAGTAGTAGTAGTAGTAGTAGTAGTAGCGGTAGTGGTAGTAGTAGTAGTAGTAGTAGTAGTAGTAATAGTAGTAGAAGTAGTAGTAGTAGTAGTAGTAATAGTAGCAGCCGTCGACGCCGTTGTAGTAAGAGTAGCAGTAGTCGTCGAACTTGTAGTACAAGACATCGAATGTGTAGTAGTAGGGGGGATCGCAGTTGTCGTAGGAGTACTACTAGTCGTAGCCCTAGCAGCAAAAATATTAAACTCGCAGTCGTAGTAGTAGTGGTCGTAGAAGTACTACCAATGGTAGTAATAGTCGTAGTAATAGGATTAGTAGTACAAGTAGTAGTAGTAGTAGTAGTAGTAGTAGTAGTAGTAGTAGTCGTAGTAGTAGTAGTAGTAGTAGTAGTAGTAGTAGTAGTAGTAGTAGTAGTAGTAGTAGTAGTAGTAGTAGTAGTAGTAGTAGTAGTAGTAGTAGTAGTAGTAGTAGTAGTAGTAGTAGTAGTAGTACTAGTAGTAGTAGGTGGGCCCGCACCAGGGGACGTCGGTCGTCGGTCGCCGGTCATCGGTCGTCGGTGGTCGGTCGGGGGTCGTCGTCGTCATCGTCGTTGTCGTCGGTCGGTCGGTCGGTCGGTCGGTCGGTCGGTCGGTCGTCGTCGTCGTCGTCGTCGTCGTTCGGTCAGTCAGTCGGTCGGTCGGTCGGTCGGTGTCGTCGTCGTCGTCGTCGTCGTCGTCGCTCTGGCGAAGGGTCCCGCCTGCGCGTAGTCGGGTCCAAGCCTCTGGGGGGGACCGGGCCGTGGAACCCTCACGGTGCCGGAGGTTTGGGGCAGCAGAGCCCCCCGAGGGCCCACGGCGCTCGCAGGCCTCGCGCGCTGTCGTTGGCAGCCGCTCCCGGCGCGGCCCGCGCCGGCAGCGCCGAACGGTCGTCGCGCCGCCATGCGGTGGGACCCAAGGCAGAAGGACATCCTTCAAGACCATGAGACCCTCCGCCGGGCAAACCGAAGAGCATCCGAGGGCACCCTCCCCCAAGGATGCACGGGAGCATCCCGCAAACTCGAAGTACGCTAGGGCAGCCTCCCCGAACCGACCTCGATGTTATACCACGTTCCGGCCCTATGACCAGGGAGGCCAGATCAGGAACGAGGGTTTTTCTTTTCTTGCCACGGCGAGCCTCGGACCCGAACAGGCTCCCCAGCCTGACGTCCGAGAACGACCCAGAAACAAGAGCTCCTCCAGAATGCATAGCCGTGCTCATGTCGGCGCCTTGGACGAGGGGGGGTGAGGGGGAACAAGAGGGGGATGGGCCGAGCAGGGGGGGCGGCCACAGCGTGAAGACGGACTGCGTGGAGCCGTGGCCACATCCGGCAGCCTCCGCGTGGTCATCGTCGCGATCCTTGTTCGTCCCTGCTACTGCCGCTGCTCCTCATCTTGACCCCGTTGGTTCCACGCACCTCTGCCCCGCCTCGTCAATATCCTGCTCTTCCTTCTTCTCCTGCTGCACCTCCTTCCTCCCTCATCCCACTCCTCCTCGTCATCCCTTTTCTCTGCCTCCTCCTCCCCTTTCTTTCTTCGTCCTGCTCCTCTCCCCCATTTGTTCGTCGTCCTCCTCCGCTCTCCTGCTGCTCCAAATATGGAGCGGTCTGCTCGAAGCTCTTTTAACAAGATAGCATTCGCATTATGCCCTCCATTACCCTTTGCATATTAGGTTATGACACGTCCTTGCGGTATCTTCCCCGTTCTCTTCCTAACATCAATACGTCATCATTCTCTGCCAACTGCCGTCCATACTCCGGGTTTCTTACTAAGCGTGGGGGGGTACCCCCCCGACGGGGTCAACATCGCCTCGTCGTCGCGCCGCGACGGGGGTCGGAGCGCCTTCGGCGCGCGGTGGCTGCCCGTGACAGGGGTCGGTGTGGGGCTGTCGGCGGGGGTGGCGCCCCCTCCCGACGATTATTGAGAAACTCGGAGTCTGCTTCATTCCAGCACCGTGTCTCTCGTCATATAGGTTCTACTTGCTTTCGGAGCCCCGCTGACATGAATATGCAGCTCGTGAACCGGATTCCCAGACTCTGCGCAGCCCATGTTCTGGACGCGCGGCGCGATCTTTGCCCCACCCATAGGCGGTGACTCCCGGGTCCCGCGTGCCCGACTGCCCTCGAAACCAAAACGTCGACGCCGTCGTCAGCGGCGTCGTCGTCGTCCCCTCCTCTTCTTCCTCGCCTCTCTCCTCTGCCTCCCTCCCCTTCCTCCTGCGAAGCATCAGTCAGCTCCTTTACATGGTCACTCTGCTTCTCGGCATCCTCCCCCCGACCAGCTCCCCCCTCCTGCCTCGTCCTCCCTCCCCCGCCTTCTTCCCCCATCGCCGCTCCCCCCCTCCGCCCCCCCCCTCCCTCCTCCCCTTTGCCCCCTCCTCACTGCTTCTCCTCCATGATCCTCATCCTCCTCCTCCTCCTCCTCCTCCTCCTCCTCCTCCTCCTCCTCCTCCCTCGCCTTCCCCCCTCCCCCCCTTCCGAACACTAGCAACAGCAGCAAACACGGGGACCTTGTGCGCGCCGGTCGCGAGGCAGTCCAGCGCCGCGTCGACCTGGTCGAGGACCCCGCTTAGCCGCGATCGCTCCTGGACTGCCGTCGCCCCGAGGGTCCCCTCCGCCCCCTCCCTTCCGCCTGTTCCTGTTCCTGCTCCTCTTGTTGTTGTTGTTGAACCTTATTACTTCTAAAGAATAATTATTGTTGGGGCCCCTGGTGCGCGGCCCCCCCGCCGCGCCTAGGCCGCAGCCACATTTTCATCATTTTCGTGAGGAAACCTCAGGCAAAACGATGTGTACGAGATCCGGTTGTGTTGTTACGATCGGTTTTCCATTGCAAAAAAATAAGCCAAAGTGGACATTTCTTGTTCTAACATAACCAACCTTCAAGAATCCCTTGCAACAAATGAGGTAAAGTGGACATTCGCGCGCGCAAGACGAAATCCTTCAAAAACCTTAGTTTTCGTAGCGATTTTAACATTTTTTTTTTTTTTTTTTTTTTTTTTTTTTTTAAAAAAAAAAAAAAAAAAAAAAAAAAAAAATGGTTTTTCAAAAAAGAATTGTCAAACTTTCATCCCGCGCGCTCTTGCGGATTCGTAGGAAACCCAACACTTTTTAATCATTTCTGTCAAACGGGCTTTTGCGAGCAACTTCTTCGAACTTCTGCAACAACGGTTGCGCACCTGCCAGGGCCATCATCCCTGTCAAATAATACCATGCGGGACACATTCGTTTTTTCTTCGCGCGCGCACGCCGTCGTCGTCGGCCGCGGGGCCCTGAATAGTAGCCACGGTCGTCCGCATGCCACGAAGTGAAGTGTCCGAACGTCATAGGGCGGGAAGCTGGGTGTGGGTGGTGGCGAAGAGTCGTTTGGAAATTTGGTAGAGCTTGAACCGGCCCCCCCACAAAGTGGGGGTATTGCCCGCCTCCTATGAAAACCCTGGCACTGGTGAGAACGGTGTGTCCCCACGTGCTAGTAATTGTTGTTGTTGTTGTTGGTGTTGTTGTTGAACTCTCATTCTTGAAGAATAATTATTGTTGATCCCCCCCCCCACCGGTGCACATTGATTTTTTTCGATTGAAGTGCCACCCCCGGGGCTCGCACCTTGTTTTTTCTCAAAGAAAGTCTTCCTGCTCAAACTGTGCCCCTGCCCCCTGGGCTACAACAACAACGGCTCCCGCCTGAGACTTCCTCGATTTTTACTCAGGACCCCCGCTCCCGCCTGAGACTTCCGCGAAATTTACTCAGGAAAGGCGCTCCCGTCTGAGACTTTCTCGCAATGTAATCAAGACCCCTGCTCCCGCCTGAGACTTCCGTGCAATTTACTTGGGAACGGCGCTCCCGCCTGAGACTTCTTCGAATTTTACTCAGGACCCCCGTTCCTGCCTGACATTTCCGCGCAATTGACTCAGGAACGGCGCTCCCGCCTGAGACTTCCTCGCAATTTAGTGAGGACCCCCGCTCCCGCCTGAGACTTCCGTGCAATTTGCTCAGGAACGGCGTTCCCGCTTGAGACTTCCCCGCAACGTAGTCAGGGCCCCCGCTTCCGCCTGAGATTTCCTCACAATGTACTCAGGACTGCGCTCTCGCGTGCGACATCCTCACAAATTATTCTGGAATTGCGTTTCGGCGCTCAGGAACCACGCACGCGCCAAGGACGCCTTCACAACGTGGTATCTTCCCTCTTCCTTCGTCCTTCCCCCTCCCCTTCCTCCCACTCTCCCTCGTTCTTCCCCTCCTCCTCTTGCAGGGCCCGCGCCAATTCCAATGGCGGGCAGAGAGATGTACGCCCCCGAAGGATTGTCCGCCCGTTCCGGTTTGCCCGTACGTCTAAGCCCGCCGGCCCCAGCAAAGAGAAATAATCCCCCCGAGAGGGGTGTGATCGAAGACGAAGAGGGCGGGCATCGAGGGTGCAGGGTATACGTGTTGAATGACTCGCGGGCAAGTAAGAGCGCACAGCCTTAAAATGGTTGTTGTTGTTGTTGTTGTTGTTGTTGTTCTGTTGGTGTTGTTAATGTGGTTGTGGTTGTTTCTGCTGTTGTCGCTAATGTGGTTGGTGTTGTTGTTGTTGTTGCTGTTGTTGTTGTTGGTGGTGTTGCTCATGTTGTTGTTCGTTGTCGTTGTGATGCTTGATCTTTTATTTGTTATGGAGCGGAAATCGGACGCCGCGTTCGGGGGGCCGACCGGGATGTTTTCCGCTCCCTCCTCGCCCCCGCAAATGGCGGAGACGACCCCCTCCTTCGGAGGAGGAAGAGGAGGAGGAGGAGGAGGAGGAGGAGGAGGAGGAGGAAGAGGACGTGTCCGTATCCGCACCCGCGCGGTCTGGATTCTGGCGGAAGTTACGCGGATGCGCGGGGAAAACGTATCTTGGGGCTGTGCTTCCTCCAACGCAGCTCGAACAAAAGGTCCTGCGGGTATGCTACGAATAGATGGCGTCCAACTCAAGATCCCGAGCACGCCGCCTGGCTGAGCGGGGGCGGGTGGTGAGCCCGTCCTCCTCGGACACCCCTCGGGTCACCACTCCACCAAGGGTCCTAGAACGTGAAACTTAAACCCAGCTGTGCCTCGACGCGTAGTCGCGGAGGTCTAGACCCGCGCCCATGGCGCGTCTAAACTGTACGCGGCTCAAGGCCCGACTCGGACCACACCCCTTGTTCCATCGGTCCCACAGGCAGGAAACGGGGGCTGGTCGTCCACCAGGTGTACTTGACCTGGCTCTGGTTGGCAACCGTCCTTCTGCGGTCGCCCTTCCTAGTCTTGGACTTCACTGCTGGCTCGCTCGGTCCCTCGATCGGAGCACGCTGTGGCTTCCCGCCGTCGCCAGCGCGCGGCAGGGTCCCTGTGTGGCACCAGCTCGGCCTCACACACGGACAGAACCAGCAAACCAAGGAAAACCCTAGCAATGCGAGCAGGAGCCCTATGCTCACGCCTGCCATCAGCGCAGTCAAGCTCACGTAGTAGCCCTCAGTCGTGACTCCTGGCATGGCCACCGAAGTCAACGCGCTCCCGTCCACCTGCTGCAGTGCCTCGCAAAGCTCTGTCGAGCTTCCCTGCACCGCAGTGGGGAACGACGCAGCCACTGCAAGCAACACCTTCAACAAGGTTGACTGGGCCTGGAAATCGGTCGGCATGGCCCCGACTTCAGCTACCCTCGAGGTCCCTGGCACGGGCACCCCCCTCAATCCGCAGCTCTCGCGGAGCCAATCGAGGCGTGTCCCCGACAACACCGTTGTGCCAAGATCCGCCAGGTTGTCGTCACCAGCTACGGGCTCGATGGTGATGACCTTCTTGGCCACCAACTGCTGTATCCAAAGCGTCTTGGTGGCAAGGTGCTTGATCCGCTCAGTGCCCTGACGCCTCGCCAGCGCTCTCGCACTCGAGCTGTCGCATCGCCAGCTCACTCGCACGCTGTAGCCCATGAACGTGAAGAGCGCCTTCAGCCCAAGTCCCTCGCTGAGACCTCGAGCTCCAGCGTGCCACTCGGCTTCGCAGCTGCAAAAGGACTGAACGTCTTGACGACAGCTGATCCCGAGCATTGGACACCCACGCGCGATCATGTGCACGCTGGTCTGGCTCTTCCGATTCTTCGCGTCGCCTGCCCAGTCGGAGTCTGTCCACGCGACCAGGTCGACCGCGGCGTGGTGGGCTTGGACATCCTCGCGCCCATGTCCCTCGTGCCCTTCAGGTACCTTTCCAGCCTCTTGAGGGCTCGCATGTCCGCCTCGCGGGGCGATGATATGCACAAGGTCAGGTAATTGATGTCGAACTGAGCATGTTCGCGGTCATGAAGGTAGAACACCAGGCACATGGTCACGCTCCTGAACAGCTTAGCCTCGTCTGGGCTGAGGTCGGGCGTGTCATCCCTGCCTGTCCTGCGTGCTTCCACCCCTGGGGTGGCACGCGGGTTGCCCTCCCCAAGGCCTAGCGCACCCAGCGCCTTTGTAAGGTACTTTTCGTTGGGCTGAATGTAAGTAGCGTCGGCCTCTCGCACGCGCCGCCTCTTGAGAAACTCGTAGTCGGAGACGTTGCCCTGTAGGCCTGACCACTTCACCTTGATGTCACGGCCCAGGTCCAGCACGACGTCGGACCCTACGACTCCAGGGGCTGTGCCGTACATGTCGTCCATGTGCAGCTCCACCAGACATGGGAGCGCGGCGCGCCAGAAGAACTGGGGCGCGGTCGGTGACCGCTCGAAGCCTCTGGACATGAGCTGCTCCGCGGCGAACTCGACCCGGTGCTGTCCACTTGGGAGCAGCCGCGTCGAATTGCACCAGGGCTGGTCTGGCTGGGCGCGACGGCCGCTGGCCTCCCCTCGCTCCACCCCGAAACCAGCTGGCCCAAACAATGCACTGGTGCTCCCAAGTTACACACGGCTCATGTCACATGAATAACAAGTGGCACCCGTGGTGGCGTGGTAAGCGGCGCGACACGCGAAGCCCAAATTCCTCACCGCATGTGGCCCGGCAACAAACAGGACCCTCCGCCTGTCGATGCTGAGCCGATTACGGTAGATTCGTGCGGTGTCGGCGCGCGCAAAGATTTTGTCACCGCGTCGATCGTTCGACCTTCAAAAACCGATCGCGGCACCGATCGTTGAAGGTTGAATTCTGTCGGGTCCAATGGCATTGTCCCTCGGTGCGTCCGCGTCACAGAATTCAACCTTGAACGCAACGCCGCACAAACCTACCGCGTGCTGCTGCAGAGCCTGCTGCACATCCTCTTCCTCCGCCTCCTTCACCTGCTCGTCCTGCTCCCGTCCCCTATCCACCCTCTTCCCCTCCCTCCTCACATCTTTCACCTCTTCCTCCTCCTCCTCCTCCTCCTCCTCCTCCTCATTATCCTCCTCCTCCTCCTCCTCCTCCTCCTCCTCTCCTCCTCCTCCTCCTCCTCCTCCTCCTCCCTCCTCCTCCTCCTCCTCCTCCTCCTCCCTCCTCCTCCTCCTCCTCCTCCTCCTCCTCCTCCTCCTCCTCCTCCTCCTCCTCCTCCTCCTCCTCCTCCTCCTCCTCCTCCTCCTCCTCCTCCTCCTCCTCCTCCTCTCCTCCTCCTCCTCCTCCTCCTCCTCCCTCCTCCTCCTCCTCCTCCTCCTCCTCCTCCTCCCTCCTCCTCCTCCTCCTCCTCCTCCTCCTCCTCCTCCTCCTCCTCCTCCTCCTCCTCCTCTCCTCATCCTTCCACTTCGTCCTCCTCCTCCTCCTTTTTCCTCTCTTCCTTCCTCCCTTCCTCCTGCCTCGTGTCCTCCCTTCCTCCCTCCTCCTGGGCCGCGTTCCTCAGCGAGCGCCACTCGAAGATTGGCCAGCGTGCCTTCAGGGCGGTGAAGCGAGGGAGGGGGCGGGTATCTGAGAGAGAGAAAGAAAGATATGACGGACGCCGTGGACGCGAGGGGGCGGCGGAGTGCGAGGGGAAGCGCGACGAGGAAAAGAAAAGCGAGAACAAGATGGGCGAAGTGGGGGAGGGGGAGCTTTTGCAGTTTGAAAGGAAAGCTTTCTTTCTTCAGCCGAGGAGGGGGAGGAACAGCACGACGAGGAAGGGAACTGATGAGCAGGAGGAAGGGGGAGGAAGTGAAAGGGACAGGGTAGAGGAGAAGAACGGGGGAGGACGATGTAGGGAGGGGGGCGGCCGAGGAGGGGGGAGAACAGCACGACGAGGAGGGGATGTGATGAGCAGGAGGAGGAGGAGAAGGAGGAGGAGGAATGATGGGGGCGCACGCGGCCTTCGGTATAGAGCAGGGCGAACATGAAGTTCCAGAGATTCGGGTACGCAGATATGCGGCCACAAGACGAACGATACAATAAAAAGTCGCAATTCCTGGCAATGGGTTTTCAAACCGTTTGCGATGCCTGACCGACTCCTTCTTCAAGTAGCGCACAGAAACGGGGGCTCGAGCTGGCCTTGGCTGGCTCACGCGAGCGGGTTGAAACGCTCGCGGCCCCAAAGAGGAGGACGGGGAGGGGGAGAAAGGATGCGAGACAAAGCTGGCCCCGCAGTCCCCGTAGGGATGGCCTACCCAATCGACGGAGAGCCGCCGATAGACAGTGGCCGCTGTTGGGACCAGCGCTCGAAATTATGGACGACGAGCCTCTTCACTCGAAGGCTGCGACAGCAACCGACACCGCGGATGGGCTGCGCTCGCTCCGCGGGCCATCCACGAGGGCCTTGCGTTGCGCACAAGAAACTGGCAGAGTGCTCACGTCCTCGTGATCGTCTTCGCCCAGAAGACCTCCGACAGCAAATCCCGCTCGGCCCAAATGCTTCACGTGCAAGTTCAAGTAAAGGAGGCCGCCGTCCGTACGTCCATGAACGACTTTGAGCTCGACCTTGCTAAAGGTAACCCATTCCGGAATCTTGGCGCCATGTTGCGATGCGCTGTAGTGGAGCCCTCCAACTTGCTTGGCCTCTGCCCAAGATCCGGTAACGTTGAGCCCCTGGAAGTAGATGTCCGCACATTGTCGCATTGTCCACCCGATCTGCGCGCATCGGCCTGCGCGCGAAGCAAGGCGGCCTCAGCGCTCGTCCCACGAAGGATGCTTATCAGAACGTGCTTGCCCGCCTTCATCAAGTCGAACCGCTCGCCATGGACGTTTTGCAGGTGTGGGTCGCCAGCGGCCGAGGCCCCAGCGCCGCCCGCTGGAGTTGGCGTTGCCTGTGGGAGCGCAGCCGTGAAGTCTCCGACCGGGTGCGGCACAGGGCTGCCTGGGATAGCTCCTCCAACCCATGAGCAAGAGTGCTCGCCGGTTGATTACATGCCCCAGGTGTAAATCTCGCCAGTGCTCATGAGTGCAGCGTAGGGGCGGTCGCCAAGTATGTCCACCACCGATGAGCCCCATGGGGGAAGGGTCGTCAGAAACTCTGGGCCCGGGAATCTCGTATGCGAATTTGCCGCGATCTCGTGGCCAATTCCGCGACCACCGCACATCTCGTCGGATCCCAGCGCGAACACTTTGCCAGACTGGGGGACGATCCACGCGTTCATATATCCCATGGAGTACCAAGAGACAAGATCGCTGTCCACACCAGGAATGCGGTCGGTGATCTCGCAAGGGCCAATGCCTGAATGGCACCCATTACTTCCAGAATCTGAATAATGCTCGCCAGTCCCGTATACCTTGTTCGTGGAGGTCCTAATGGTGATTACGTGGTACCCCCCTTATGCGGAAGTCGATGATGAAATTGTCGTCGTTGGGCAGCCCTTGAAGCTTAACTGGCTGGGTGGTCGGATTCACGTGTGGGAAATTGCCACCACGTGTAGCCCGATTGCCCCAAGATCACAGCTCCCCAGACTGAGAAAGGGCCAGCGGCACGTACCCGCCATAACTCTCATAGAAGCCTACCTGCACGATCGGATCGCTCTGCGAATCTGGCAGTCCAACGACTGGCACGAATCCGTGGGAGTGATATCCATTAGACACCCCAGAATCCGTTTGAATGATATTGAGAGGCGTGTGGAATAATCCTGTGACCAAAACCTTGCCAGACCTAGTAAGCAGCAGCATGTTTCTGAAACCTGGTGCAAGCTGCACAGCTGGATACGTAGCCATGTCGGGATAGTGCCACATTCCGACGCCGTGCGCATTGACGCTTTCACTGCACACGCCACGCATTTCATAAAGACCCGAGCCACTCTTACAATAGATGCCGCCAGACGTCGTCAGCATCAATGGACCGATAAATTGGCTGCCTTCAAGGCTCTTCATGTCCGCAACAGGCCATCCCTCCTGGCACTCTCCGAACGCGCCATTCGAGAAACTTCGCAGGCAACCAGACTTGTCCACCGCCCACGGATTCCCAGAGCGCCATGCCACCATCGTCGTCTCCAACTTCATCGGTTGAACGGTGATCGAATTGACACGAGCCCTGTTTGCCGTCCCGAGGGGGTCCTTGGCTGCCTTGGTCATCCCTATGCTGGAATCGGCGGGTGCCGCCCTCGAGCCAGAGTCGACCTCCTCGATGTCCGGGAATTCGCCGAAGCCGATGTCCTCCGTGTCAGGGTCCGCCCTCGCGAAGTCCATCGCGGTAGGGCCGGGCATCTCCTGCGCCTGCAACATCAGGGAAATGGCGGCGGGTAGGCCCTGGACGAACAGCGCCGCCCAGAATGTGGTCCATGGGGCCTTCCGGGTCGCAGCCATCCCGCCAAGCTGACCGACAGAAGATCAGTCGCTTTTGTAAGACAGGAGCGGGGTGCAGTTTGCGTTGCTCTGGCTTGTGCCAAAGAGGAGGAGGGCACGAAGCTCGGCGCAGCAGGTGCGGGCGGAGCTCCACTAGGCCTGTAAGCGATGCAGGGCTGCTACGCGGGCGGCGGCGACAGCAGCGTCGTGGATGGGCAGGCTGCAATCAGCCCGCCACTTCAGGATATCGAAAAGCTGCGTGGCCAACGCCACGGCACGGACGCAGGCCATGCGCGGGCGCACGCGGTGGTCGAGCTGGTGGCCGAGCCCGAGGAAAACGGTGCCGCTACCCAGCTCACTCGGCTCAGCGGGGGCGGCGACGGCGCTCCGGAGCACCGGGCAGACCAGGTAGTGGGCAAGGTCGTCCTGCGCGTCGCAGCCCAAGAGGCAGGAGCGGGGGGCGATGACGTGCATCCTGTGCCAAGGAGGAGGAGGATGAGGAGGAGGAGGAGGAGGAGGAGGAGGAGGATCAGGATGGATGATGATAAATAGGAAGATCCTGAAAGAAACATTCGCCAGCCCAACGGGCAAAAGGCGTGCTAGAATCTCTGGTAAGTGGTCAACAGTGTCTATGTACATACATATGTCTATATACATACATATATAGATCGATCCATGAGTAGCTCGATAGATTTACAGATATGCTATGCGCTCCCGAAGCGCTGAAGCCCCCGATCGCGTTTAAATATTCGCGGCCGTAGCGCGCGTGATGGAGTGGTGGCGGGTGGGGGGGCATAACGTAACGCCCCCCCCAAGCCGTGTGGCTCCGGCACCACAACGCGTGTGCGCATCACAGCAAGCACCACAATGCGCAGCACAATATGCACCACCCGCAGCCACGTGCACCACACCGCCTATGTACTGCGCAGCGCATACGTGCACCATCGTGCAGCACCACAGTGTTTGCATCCTCCAAACTCCTTCGAGCATTATCTTGTGCTGGTGTTCGCTTCCGTTGTGTTGTATCTACGTTGCGCAGAACAGGGTACCACGGTACTCTGCTTCTACCTCCTCCGGAACCGAAACGTAACACGAATATTGTCTCAAATCTGTACCGCGCTGCCTTCTTCCGGTGCGTGCTGCACGCGTGCACCACAGTGCTTGCGTGCACCACAGCGCCTGCGTGCACCACAGCAGCCGCGTTCACAACAGCGCCTGCGCATACCGCAACGCGCGGGTGCACCACAACGCTTGCGGACACCACAACCCCTGCGTTAACTAAACGGGTTCTGCGCAGAGTCTGGGCGCACCTTGGCCCGAAGGAGAGGGCGGGCAACAATGGTGCCTGCAAGCACGCACGATTCTGGCGAACAACTGCGAGAGCACAATTGCCCTCCTGTTGGCACCCCAGGTAGCTTGCGAGCAACGCTGCACGTCTGTGAACAATTAATTATCTTGCACAGCTGTGCTCTAGAGCTCGGACATCTTTATGTTCGTCGTGGTTCGTGGTTCGTGGTCGTTCGTCCCCCTCGGCCCCTCCCCTGAGCCTGAGCCCCAGCTCCCCTGGGCCACCCCCCCTTGGGACCCCCCCTCCGTCCAGGCTTCCCAGGGCAGCCCCCCTGGGCCGCGGAACCCTTTATTTTCGTCGTGGCTCGTGGTGGTTCGTCCCCCTGAGCCTGAGCCCCAGCTCCTCTCGGCCACCCCCCCGTTGGGACCTCCCCTCCGTCCAGGCTTCCCAGGGTGGCCCCCTTGGGACCCCCCCTCCGCCCAGGCTTCCCAGGGCAGCCCCCCCTGGGCCGCGGAATTCTTTATTTTCGTCGTGGCTCGTGGTGGTTCGTCCCCCTCGGCCCCCTCCCTGAGCCTGAGCCTGAGCCCCAGCTCCCCTGGGCCACCCCCCCCTTGGGACCCCCCCTCCGTCCAGGCGTCCCAGAGTGGCCCCCTTGGGACCCCCCCTCCGTCCAGGCGTCCCAGAGTGGCCCCCTTGGGACCCCCCCTCCGCCCAGGCTTCCCAGGGCAGCTCCCCTGGGCCGCGGAACTCTTTATTTTCGTCGTGGCTTGTGGTGGTTCATCCCCCTCGACCCCTCCCTGAGCCTGAGCCCCAGCTCACCTGGGCCACCCCCCCTGGGCCGCGGAACCCTTTATTTTCGTCGTGGCTCATGGTGGTTCGTCTTCCTCGCCCCCCCTGCTTCCCAGCTCCCC